CAAAAGGTGGAGTCAGTCATGGTGAGATTGCTATGTATACAGTGCCATTCTCTACTGCTTTCCCAGGCCATAAGCAGGGAACTGGATGGGAACTGGAGCAGAGAGGACACAAACTGACACCCATTTAGGATCCTGTGCATAAAGTAGAATTATTAGACAATTGAGTCATTGCAGCAGGCCTATTTAAACTTTTTCTAAATATAATTTTGATCCATTATATTGTCCATTATTGCTTAACTTTCTCCACATATTCATTTCAGTGGAAAAAACATTTCCTTAGGATAGCCAGAAGCATTTCACACTCATAGGTCAAGAATCTCCTAAGACACTTTCGTAATAACAAATCAATTCTTCTAAATCCAATCATCCCACATCTTAACATCATTGATTTGGCTTCAACTCTTTTAGACTTGACCCCTAATATACTAACAGCTCTTGCTGTTGCTACCATTTGGGGAGTGAATCAGCATATAGAAAATGTTTCCTCTGACTTTCCTTCTCTCTGTAAATCTGCCTTTCTAAAATAATAAAAATAAAGGTCTTTAAAATAAAAGGGTTGAGAAGATTTTTTCTTAATCAATTTGTGATATAATGAGCAGCAATAATTTGGTGCAGCATCATAATGAGAAGACCATAAAATTAAGCTTTCACAATGGTACATTTTAAAAGTATTACATCTCAGACCACGCTGGAATTGTTTTCCCAGAGGTGTTGCAAATATATCTGTCTTCAGAAACCCTAATGAAAACTTTAAATTTCCATTTGGAACTCATATTCAAATACACTGAAGCAAGAAAACTCAGCTTTCTGTTAGTTTCATAAGTTCATTCATTTACAATATCCTGCCAAACAACTTGGCTTTAAAAAGAAAGGTAGGTGGCTTACTTGTTATCTCTTAAGCCGGGCAAAATGCTTTGGCATCAATAGGATGACTATCTCTCTGAGATTTCGGTTTATTGTTTTTATGGACTCAGACACAGAGATTAAAGTTCCCACACATCTCCAACTGCAGGTAGCAGAGAATCCTTCATGTGTTCGCTGCCCTTGTCTTCTAGCAAGCAGCAATCCTCCATAACCATGAGACATGCTGTGTACATCTTATGCTTTGTCTCCAGTGAGTTCAAACTTATCCACGGGGCTGAGAATGGAAACAGGCTCTTCTCTGACCTGGGGACGATTCACAGATATTAAAGCACAGACTTGCTAGAAATCTCACTAAGTAAGTTGCCATATTGAAAATAATGATGCTCTGATGTTTCACAGCTGTAACTGACATTTTTATCATCATTGGCCACGCAGAGGGGGACACCTAGGGCTATGTTTCACTGGCCAAGAGGCATCAAACTGAGGTTTAAAAGCAATGATACAAGGATAATGGGCTAATGATACGATGTTGATAATGGGTGAAATAAAGTGAAAAAGTAAATTCAAATCTTTAGACAAATGATTTGTTTCTTTAAATATTATAGTCTTTAAGTGAAAGGTTATGTTTTGACAAAGATCTACAGTATTTTCATACTCAGATTTTGTGTTTGTCCACAGAAAAAAACAAATAATTGCAATAGCAGTAATACAATTGAAATGTTAAAACCATGTTTAAATCCAGAAAAATCATATTGTACTGCTACGTATGTTGCAATATAAAAGTAAGAGACTCATAACCATAAATTGTTTTAAATGATAAGTAAATTTTCTAGCTTATCTACCAAGAATTACAGTGCTACTACAGAATTTGGGATTATCTCATTTCAATAGATTTGACTTCGCTTCTTTTAATTTGGAAACTTGGAATTCAATGATTATAAAAATGTTAAAGAATTCATAGCTCCATAGAGGTAAAAGTTCATGTATAATTAATTAGCACAATTAATCATTTTTATGTTTTTACTACATCTGCATTATTTTAATTAAAATGGGAAGCTACAAATCAATGGAGATACAAACACAAATCTGGAATCTATATCTTTTGATGAACTCTAAACCTACTAGTTATTTCATTGCAGTTTTTGTAGTATTTGCATGTCAACAAAAACTCATACAGTTTTTGAAATTTCAAATCATGTCAATAATTTTTCAGACTGTTGTATAGATGAAACTATGTTTTCAGATCTATACTTGATTTCTTATTATATCTACCCTAGCAAAGAATCTGATAGAATGTTTTTCTCAAGCTGTGAAATGATGAAACTATTGTTGAGAGGTGGCCAATAATTGGAACTAATAGTACTCAAAAGAGCAACAAATCTTATCAGAAAGATCTGAAGACAATATCTGAGAGATAACATTACTAAAAATGTTTGCGTTTGTTCTGCATACATAAACTTGAGGAGTAACTTGCCATTATTTCTGGTATGTAGTAATGACTTCTTGTAGACGGCATACGTGATACAAGAACAGCTTAGTACAAGATCCAAATCAAATAAAATGTTGTCAATATCAATCTGAAATTCACATCCATATGTTTAAATTCATACAAATATTAAATATATATTGATGTTATTTTAATTTAATGTTAACACAAAGTCACTTTCATACTTTCTGTGATCTATTTTTTGCTCATTCCAATTTGGGAACCTCTCTCTTCATCTTCCATTTCTCTAATCTACTGCTACACTAACATGCCAGTTGGGACACCCACAGCCCAGGTCAGAAGACCTGGGCTTGAGTTCTGACTAAACCCCAAATTTCAGTGTCCTGGTCCTGTGTAGCCTGAAAAGAACAGGCCTTGGGTTTTCTGCCACTTATGTATAAGATGAGGATTTTTACACGGATTTGAGGAGAGAATTAGAGATTGGGAGCCCTGTTTATCTCTCATTTACTCTAATTAGTACAGCAAACTTACAAAATAAAAGAAATATCCATGCCTGTCGTGCACAGAAGTAAGTAAACACATACAGCCATTCACACACGAAACAGACATGCATGAGGAACTGCTGCCTTTTACACCTTGCAAATGAACCTCTCAATAAGAAGCATTTCATACCCATAGACAATGAAATGTGAAAATTCTTACCATTCTATAGAGAAACACTGTGGCATTCTCTTTGGCAAATGTAGCTAGCCTCAATCTAAAATTTTGTCAGATACAGAACCTTAGCTATGAGTTGGGGCTCATCTAAACCGCACATTGTGTCCAAGTGAGATGCACTCTCCCCGTTGTCCCGACTCCAGGCTGCTCTCCCAGTGCAGCAATCATATTTGAAAGCAACAAAGTGACACATACGTGAGGCAAATGATAATGAAGAGTAGATCATCTTTGTGTTTTGAAAAATATAAATTTACTTATGTATAAGACAAGTAGAAAGGTTCTTTTCCCTGCTGATTCATCCCCCAAATGCCCCCAGAAGATATTAGGGGGTCATTCTGAAGCCAAAAACCAGAACTCAATCCAGATCTCCTACCTGAGTGACAGCAACCCGAGCAAGCACCGAGCACCTGCTTTCCCCACGGGTGTGCATTCGCTGGAAGCAGACACAGAGCCAGGGTTTGAACCTTCGAACTCTGATTTAGGATGTAGATGTCCAATGTGACATCTTACTGCTTTGTCTACTACGTGCTCCAAGGTGTAATATTTTGCAGAAAAATTTACGTGCTGCTTGAACAGGACCCATGTAATACCATCACAAGGTAAAGATATCGCTTAAAATCAAACTTGTCAACTAAGGAAGTTTTTAGATCCTGAAAAGTAAATCTATGAATGTTATGCATATTTCATATATGCAAGTCTATTATATGCATTACATGTTCTGTATTTGTTTTTCATAGGTTTTACTTCCTGGGTTATTTCAATTGTTCTCAATGGTAGACAGCAAAATAATTCAGTCTGAGCAAACCTATTTTCTATTGGCATGGTAGATTTGGGCAATAGACTTTGTAGTTTAATAAATTTGATGTCTTTATTCCTTGATTAATTTTCACCTCACTATTTACAAACAGAATTTCACTCAGAGGAATTAGGAAAAACATAGTTGAATGAACCATTAAAATATAGAATGTATGTGAGTATAGATGATATTTCTTTGAAGAATTTAGAGAAATATCTTAATGAGCAGAGGAAAATAAGTGCACTAAGAAAGCATAATCACATTCAATATTCCCAAAATACTGTTTGATTATCTAATAAACAGAAATATTCCATCTTATATGCATTTAAGGCACATAATCTGTATCAAAATAAATACTCAATGAATATTGGTAGGCTAAATATTTCTGCAACAAATTACCTATATTTATAATATTTATTCATTTATATTAAAAAAAGAATGTGGTATGAAAAATTTTGTAGGATGAGTACATTATTTTCCCTCATGGAGTCAATGATTGGATTTTTCTTAATTGACGTATTTCACTATATTCCATAAAATCGAACAAAACAAAGATCAAGAAAAATCAAAATATCTGTGATATTCACATATTAATTTCATTAATACATTGATTGTCAAAGTTTGATTGGCTTCTGGCTGATTTATAGCTGTGATTAACACTGTTGTTGTTGCTTTCTTGCCTTCATTGCACAGTTTGTAAAACCTGCACCGTAAGATGAACTTTGTGCACAGCTTGGAAGACAACACCGAGCGATGGAACCCTGATCTAAGCCCCAGCTTCTCCATTTGTGCACAGCTTGGGATGACAACACCCGCAGTGGAACCCTGATCTAATCCCCGGCTTCTCCACGCTTCTCATCCATCCTCCTCGTACTAAGAGGCAGTGTGAGAAACAAGGTTGGAATTCCTGGTCCTTAATGTTTTTCTGACTGCTATTTGTATTTGTGAAAACAACGGGGCAATGGAAGATCTCTTTTCTCTCCCTCTCTCACTATCTCTCTGCCTTTCATATAAATACATCTTTAAAAATTTGACAAGTTTTATTTATTTTTACCACTGTTTGTAGTTTCAACATTTCCAACTCCAATATCAAAGCCAACAGAGGATACATTCTATATCTACTTGAGGTTTATAATTTAAGAGGTTATTAAATCACATTCTGAAAGATTTCAGTTTTTTAATGTGAAATGCTTTGTTAATTTGCATATCATCCTTGTGCAGGGGCCATGCCAATCTTCTCTGTATCATTCCAATTTCAGTGTATGTGCTTTTGAAAACTGTTTCATTTAGAGAAAAAAAAAGCTATATTGCCCATGAGATTTCATCTTACTTACCAATATGTCTCTATAAAATCTAGCTTATCTTATTAGCAGAATATAGGATAAATCATAGAATGTTAGAAACCAAAAATTTATAATAATTTTGAAAAGCAATCACTTTTCGTATAGCTTGTGTTCTCTGCAGGACATGCTAGAATTGGAACCATAGCGTATTCCAGTACACCAAAATGCCTTTAACTCGTCAAGATCATTATAAACATTTGTAGAGATATACAAAATGGCACCATATGTGTGAACTAAGACATATTTTTTTCTTCCTTTACTGTGCCAAAGATTAGAAAATTGACAGAGCTTACTGCATTTATATTGATCATGGAAAAACCATTGCGTTTAATGTCTCAAACAAGACTGAAAATGACCCTTAACTGTCTCAGTGGCATATCTTAAAATGACATAAAAATACAAGTGCAGAATGGCTCCAAATTTATAGGTACTTGGAAAATCAAAGAAAACAAACAATTTGGTAGTGTGCATACACTTAACTGCTGTATCACTGCATCACTGTATAAAACACGTTGAAAACGGTTCTGTGGACAATGATGCCGACAACTTCTTGATTTCCCAGTGAAGTAACTATGTGACTTGTTTTCATATAAAGTGGCACTTATTCGCTAAGCTTAATGAGTTTAATAAAACTTAATGAGTCATCTTCTAGCCTAATGAAGCACTTTAAAATGCAAAATGAAAGAAAATAAGGTTTGTCTGGCACTACAGACCCAGAGTAATAAATACATTGGGGAGTGTGATGGGCATGGAACATAAACCTAACTGAATGAACTTACACAAGAAAACTGAAGTTGACTTACCACAATATCTAATATTCGCTGCTCTTAAGATGAAATAACCGTGTGAGATAATTTATATTTCACAGTCCCATGTGGATATACAAAATACACAATTATATTGTGTTTAACAATGCTGATACATCTCAAAGCTCTGAGGTTCAGAATTTCTCCGAGTAGACTATTGTTTTGCAATGTTTTAAGATAAAAAATGAGGTTGAGATCTACAGTACCTTTGCAGGGGAGGACATTTGAGATTTCAGAAAACTGCAGAAGGCAAGTGGCGCTAGAAGCAACCAGCACTATTACAAACTTTAAAATCTAATACATGAACTTCAGGAAAGTTAACATGTCCATAGAATTCTCTCTTGGTGAAAGAATTCTTGTTAGACATAACAGACAAACATTTTGGGTACAAAAATGATATTGCAAATATATCTCTGAGAGATCATGGTAACTAATCAGTATAGATTAACAAAAAAAAGTGACATAATCTAAATTAGAAATTTTAAAAAGTCCTATCTAGATGGCCAAAGATAGGTGCCCAGCATTAACCTTCTTATAGGCAAGAACAAAATCAACAAATAAACACCCACTTTCCAAGATTAGTTGCTGAAAAATACATTAGGGCTCAGCCAGGGTGTGACAGGAACCTAGCATTCAAGTAAAGATGGAATAGAAACCTAGAGACAGGAACAAACCCATCCAGAAAGTGAGGCCCTGTGTGGAAATTCCTGTGGCATAAGAAAGCTAGAACAGGAGAATCTAAGGCATCGCAGAGCTATGTGAGAACTCACAGCCACTTTCAGTCTGAGAAAGAACACAGTGTATCCTTCTGGGCTCCCAGAACACAGGCTGACAGATGTGGTGCAAGCTGCATAAAGGAGTCACCAACCCTAAGGACAATGGCCCCATCCCTAAGGTCTACAAAAATTCAGTTGCACCACTAACTTGATATTACTACTGTACAAATTCAACTAGATTCAGCAAAGTAATGGTGGTCCTAGGACCCATCCAACAATACCACTCTGTACTATGAAAGATGAGAGGCGCATGGCAACAGAGACACCTTGCCCCTGCAAACGTGAAAGTGGGGGTAACTTTCTACTCGGCTGTGTGGCCTTTCTGCTGCTCCTCCCTCTTTCTTGCAAAGCACTCCTCAGCAACTGAAAATCGTGTGTTCTTAGCAGTGTGGTGGAGTGTTTTACCAAGTCTAACAGCCTGAGTTATAACACTTGTCTGATCTTCTTGTAGCTACGGAGAAGCACAATTAGGACCATGATTAGAGCATTCCTGTCACCTGGGCCACTCCTTTGTCTCCAACGGCAGCCTTGGACTCTGGCTACTGAAGAATATTCACACTCCAGGCAGACTGCACTCCAGGGACCTGAACAATACTGTTATACTTCTTCTACTGAGGTCATCGACTACAGTGAAAGAAGCTGTGGGTGTCTCTGCTACACCTTCTAGCTAGCATGAAAGCTTTGATGCCCCAAGATGCACCTTATATCAAACAAACCTCCTATCATGAAAGGCAGGTTTAAAGGTGATGGAGACAACCGGTACACAAGATTTGCATAAGGAAATAAGTGTGAAGCAAAATAGAATCATGACCCTTCCAAAGGAATACAACAAAAAGCTTTCAAAGGAATGTTAACAAGAGTACAATACAATACCAAAAAAGCTGCCCTAAATAAGGAAAGAGGGTTTTAGAGTTCTTAATCAAGAAGAAACTACCAGAATCCATTACCACCATATTGATATTACAAATGTTACTTGACTGTTCTCCTTAGAGAAGCAAGAGGAAGCTATCATCAGGGAGACATGTGAAAACATATTAGCCGTTTCTTTATTTGAAAGACACACCATCAGAGAAAGAGCAGATAGACACAATAGAGATAGAAATAAGTATTATAGATGATAGTTGAGATGAGAGTGTGAGAGCGAGAGAGAGAGATCATCCGACTCTCAGTTCAATTCTGAAATAACTGCAATGGCCAGGATTGGGCCAGACCAAAGCCAGGAGTGAGGAATCTATTTGGGGAATCCAAATCGGTTTCAGGAGCTCGTGCACGTGGGCCTTCTGCTGCCTTCCCAGCACGTTAGTGGGAAGCTGGTTCAGAAGCGGGACAACCAGCGCTTTGACACAGGGTGCCAGCTTCACAAGCAGTGGTTCCCCAGCATCAGCCCCTATAAAAGCTTAAGAGCTGTAGCAGAGACAGTGGTAGTCAAAATAAATAGAAGAAGAGAATATCCTTGTTGCTGGCAATCTTGAAGGTAAATAAACTATATTATTCAATTAAGAGGCATAGAGGGGGCCAGGTAGCTGGTACATACCCAAAGCAAAGGAAACCAACATATCAAAACAACATATGCACTCTCGCGTTCATGACAACACCATTCACTACAGCAGAAAATGGAATCAGTCTGTTTGATCATCTATAGATAAATGGATAAAGGTGTTACATATGCTTTATGGGATATTATGCAGGGTTAGAATCAAATCTTAACATTTGCAGAAAAACAGACATAGAACTCTGTGTGTTACGTAAAAACAATACAGATGCAGAAATATTAGTCTTGCAATTTCTTGGTCATATGTGGAAGTTAAAATGAAAATGTCTGGGGTAGATATTCGATAGAACAATGAAGATGCATTTTTAAGATTCCTGTAGGTCTCATCAGAGTGTCTTGGCTGGAGATCCTGCCTCTATATCAGAGTTTCCAGTGGCTGTATACTGCTGGAGGCTCTGGCCATGACGCGAGCTGTTGTGCATTTGTTGCTCGAGCAGGGCATGAGGACTGAGTTCGAAGCTCTTGTGTTCAGCTAGTCCTGTCCCAGCCACCAGAGAGATTTGGGCAGTGAGCCAGCTGGTTGGACTGTTCTGTCTGTCCAGCTTTCCTATCACTCTGCCTCGCAGACTTTCAAAGTGTAGGAGTAGTCTGCAGTATGAATGGTTATTATTGGGGACTAGGACAGTCGGGAAGAGAGTGGATGTAGAGCAGAAGCAAAAGTGCAAGAAAACAGACTATTGTAAGAGGTTGTGGCTTACACACAATGAGCGACTACAGATCATAATAATGTCATAGTTACTGTACAAAAAACTGGAGTAGGGAAGCCAGCAGGCTCCAAACGTGGGGAATAAGGAGGCGGTCGTGATATTGCCTGTTCACATGCACCTGTTGAAACATCTCTCTGAACTCCCTGCAAGTAAGTTCTACAAGTATTATATATTCTTCTAAAAATTTTAAAATATATAACAATTACTAAATAAAGCCAGATTATCAAACTGTGTGAGAGTTTGTTAATATTATGGTTAAACAAGATCAAAGCTATAATCAGTGCCATGATAATTTACATTGTAATTCCTCAGTGTAATTCTACAGATGAATACTTGGACCGGGCTGGTCACTGTTGGGCTGAGGGACCACGTTAAGTAACTTAACCTTTTAAATCTTGGCATCTTTACTGTAGTGTTACATCGCCCACTCCCATCATTGGTGAAGGCTTTGCCTTTTGCTATTTTTTATTGTTATAGTCTCTCTTTATAGGTAACAGCCAAATATGGGTGACACCTTTTGCGATATTATATAAACATATTTTACTTATTGTTTTGGTAAATGCATTATCTCTCTAACACAGAAATTGAAATATTGCTTTAATTCCTTTCAATAAATTATTTTCGGCTTCGTTGATTCCTGAGACCAGCTGACTTGAAGTTTTATCAATCTTTGTCTCTTGGTTTCTTTTTATTTTTGCCATGAATATTTAGCACATGAAAGGCAAATCAAACCATGTTAATTGGGAATGAGAAAGCCCTTACAAAAATGGAGATGCATGTGGATGTTATTCAGAAATAATCTGTCATCATATTTCTTTACTTTTTGTAAAGATTTATTTTTATTGCAAAGTCAGATATATAGAGAGGAGGAAAGACAGAGAAAAACATCTTCTGTCCAATGATTCACTCCCTAAGTGATCGCAACGGTTGGTGCTGCGCCGGACCAAAGCCAGGAGCCAGAAGCTCTTCCAGGTCTCCCACGCGGGTGCAGGGTTGCAAGGCTTTGGGCCATCCTCAGCTATTTCTCAGGCCACAAACACAGAGCTGGATGGGTAGCGGGGCTGCTCGGACTAGAACTGGCACCCATATGGGAT